TCCTTTCGCGGCTGGAAGAGCCGTCTCTATTGACCTGCTGAAAAACAGAGCCATGTTTTTAAGGTATTCGTGAAAATATATGTTGCACAGGACTGAAGCGATGTCACCCCGTATCGTTCCCTTTAGCGGGCACAGCTCAGAAGCCCAAATTAAATTCAATGCACTTGTCAGCATTGTAATGGAAGCCAGATCGTAAAAAATATTATCATTCAAGATTTTCAAGAAGCTAGCAATTAGGCCATATATTGCGATGTCTAGCCAGCATTTTACCAAGATCATGGTGTGAATTTTCCTTGATTGTACAGACATTTTGAAGAATTTTCGAATGTTGCCTGCAGTTAAATTCAGCTTGCTTGCCAGTGAATGTTTCTCATGTATTGTGTTGTCGCATTGTGATGCCAAACCAAGGTAAATTATTAATCCAGAAGAAAGATTTATGAGACATGTTTCGAAAAACAAAACTGCTACTGCTAGAATTTCCATGTCGTGCAAAACTACTATGTTTCTTCTGAGCATTTTCGTGTTTTACTTGTGTTGTAAAGGTTTGGTTAAAAACAATAAAGATAGGATGTGTTTTCTCAGAATATTAATTACGTAAGTAGCTGGTCACATTGGAGGCTTCTTTGTTTCAGGAATGCGTAATTAGTGATTCTTGGAAATAGACAAAGGCAGGCTCGTTGGGAACTTTTATTCTATGTATAAAGTTTATTCTTTTGAATGAGGATTGGGACACGTTAAAGGCAATCTGTCTCGTTGTGGATTGGTTAACGAGAACAATAGCTGGAACAATAGCCTAAACACGATTCCAGCACTCCGCCATATTTTTTACAATGCGATAAATTAATGGGGGACTGGAAACAATAAAAATCCCTTTGCTCCTATAATCAATCAACGTCGTGACAGATTGCCTTTAATAGATGGAGCATGTATACAGTAAGTATCCGTATATTTAAGCTGAGGCCTCAGAGAGTTTTCTTATTAACAGAGACTTTTCAACATCAGGGTCTGAGTTTCTTATCAATACGTATTGTCAAGTCAATTTAAGTCAAGCTATATGACAGTTTTGTCCTCGGACGCGTCAATATTTCTGGTAGAAGTGTACAATACAAAATCTACAGTATAATTTTTCATATCGAAGGAATACACACACTACAGCCATCCTCGAGCATGAACAGAAAATTTAAACCACGAAACTTTTGATTGAAAATAAGAGACATTTCAATTTCAGGCCTAAAATTATTTCTTATAAATTGGGCCCCCTTCAAAGAAAATGAAGCCTGTTTCTTACACAAGGGGGTGTCTTATATGTGGTAACTTATAGTATTCGGTCTCTGGGGTTCTAGCTATGGAATGCATCGATTTTGAAAAATACATTAGAATTTGATTTTTCTGATTACATTGATCAATAAAACTTGAATAGGGGGAATTTGTATTGGAATAGAGGGCATATTACCGTACTTGTGTTGTTTTTATTAGACCTTCAAACTTTCAGACCCATCGCCATTAATTTATACTTATGATTCCATTGATTTATACTTGTAATTTCAAAACAAATTAATAAAAACTGAAAACTCTTCCATCTGACATTATTAACCGTCAGAATGATAATTGATAGTCGACAACCCTTATATCACCTTTCTTCGTAACAATTTGATGATAAGAATATAACACTATAGACACAGTGTCATACCTTTATTCGAAATGGGGGGCGGGGGCTGTAGTCCAGTTTCAATTGAAGATAAATGAAACCGCATTGGGATTTTGTTGTAAATTGTGGGCACCATGCATTTTCCTGTTATTTAACATTTACTCTTTGCGAAAAACTTTGGTCCCATTTTTTATTTCGGGTTTTAGGGTGATTTTAGAGGATACAAAGATGAAACGCTAACAGCCTGTATCTCTGCGGAGGAGCAATTTCTATTTTGCTACCTCATGTCTAAATGAAGGCCAATAAACTAGAAAATAAGTGAATTTACAACACTAAGTATCTGCCTATTAAGAAACAAGCTCCCAAATCATTTCCTGTATGTGATCACATGTCTTATTTCCCTCAATTTTCTTATATGGATACAATTTTTTTACTGCACTTGAATATGCATGAATCTCGCCTACCTTTGAATTGCAACAAATCCTTTTATGTTAGAAATGACGCTTTAGAAAACTCTTTAGGGCCAAGCCTACAGATGGGTCCCAAACGAAATAGTTTTAACTTGATAACAGAACAAAATAATCTCATGAATCAACAAAACCAACGACTTAAGTCTCTTTACAAGCCCGTAGCCAGGCCTGTGGAATAGGGGGGGGGGGGGGGCAAACTCCCCGTGTTCAATGCAGGTGAAGTTTTTTCAGGGATGGGGAAGGGGGTGATGGGTAGAGTTAGTGATTAGGAAACAACCACTGACACTGACAATATCACTGTCTGTACTGACAAAATCGTCAAAGTGTTTGGGAACAAAGGACCTAATTCGCTGAATGTTGATGACCACTGTTTGGGTGTCTATACCATAGCATATTGTCCACATTCTTGTTCACATAACTTGTGATTTTGAAATGTCCAGACCACTGTGTAGCAGGCAGTTGTTTCAGCAATTTTCTCAAAAGTGACCAAGTAGCGCCAAGTTTTTGCTTGGCAGCGAAAAAATTTTGAGCGCCAGGCACGATCTTAAGTCCTACATAAGAGATCCTAATAAGCAATTTTACCTCCGCCAGTACTAGCTTGAATTAACTTGTCACGGCAATCCAATGACAACGAAGAAAAACTCCATTAAATAATGTAGAGACAAAATTCTCGGGGTGGCAAACGGCTTGTATTCTCTTGCTCCAGTCAAACTGGTCATCATGAGAATAACCATCATCTATATTACTGACATGAGTGTTTTCGCACATCATCTGCCCCACATTTGCACATTCCAGTACAAACCAAATTATTTCTCTTGCATGAACAGTTAGCAGAATATCTGCTTTTGGCGCAACTGCATTGCACAAGTTCGAGAACTGCGTCTGGCGCGGGATTCTGAAGGGTCGCTAAAGGCACCATCTTCCCATTCTCGTCAATCCAGCCATGGCCTACTGGAGGCGGCATGTCGAAGAAAGGTATGTGCGCGTTATTCCAAATCCTGGCTTGGTGATTTGCCTTGCTTGTGTGTTGCTTCAAGGAAGACTTTGTTGGTGGTAACTTTTCTCCTTCTCCTTGAAATGTCTTGAAAAGGTGCCAGCGAGCCTTGCCTACCTCTTTTACTTTAGCTTTTGGTGCAAACAGGTATGCAACGAAGTTTTCAAGAGAAGCTAATGTTTGTTCTGTGGGATTTTCTTCAACTCCAAGACCCGAAAAACCAATTAAGAACTAGCGTTTTATTTCACCTGATGCATTAATAAGAGCTTTCCAGCAAGAGAGCTTCCCTTTTCCAGCAAATCGGCCAACAGTGTCACAGCCAGCGAAGGCATGAAATGATGGTAATGCTGTTGCAATTTCTGTCCCAATAGCATCATTGATAGGTTTCAATTGGACAGCTTCTCTGTTGCTACCCTGCCCTGTTCTGTCCCTTTTATACCAATTGTTTCAAATGAAGATAAAAAATTGACAACGCTTAGTTAGAACCATAAATATTTCATTCCCTTTATCGAACCCACAGAACTGAACAACTGTCGTTGATATAGTTTCAAGGGCACAAGAGGGCCTTTGCAAAGAGGGGACATATCAGAGCTTTACAATTCTTTGCATTACGAGGGCATGCCCATTTTCAATTATTATTGACATCAACTGATAAATTATCAGAGTTTTCATTTTCAATACAATGAATTTGAAAAATGAAAAAGCAGTACTCACAAAATAGGTCCTTTTTGGACAAAAAGAGCAGGAAGGAAACGTGGAAAGATTGCATGTGTGTCTTGCAAGACATTTCCATTCTTGTTTCTGGGGTGGGGTAGGTGCTCCAAAGTCCAGTCATCAGGTCTTAAGAATCAGCTTTAACGTCACACACTTTGCAAAATATCTAAGCTTTTTCAAGAAGGATCCTTTGCAATCCTTATAAACGGTTTCCAATAAGGGAAGGGAAATATAGGTTCATAAATGCTGATAGCCTGTGCTCCAGACCTCTACTTTCAAGTTAGGGGTCTGGAACACAGGCTAAAATGCTGATGACTATGGCCGGAGGCTGCTGTCCTGTAGCCCCTTGGGTTACTCTGCTGCTTACCGTAGATCCTCGAATAGGCCCCATCTCTAATCAGCTCTCCTTAAGCAAGTCCCCATCCTTGAAGTATCATTTTTTCATACCCCCTCCCCTCGAATAATGCCCCAACTAAGTGAAATTAATAATGGAGCAAATTTGAAAGTCTAGAAAAAGCTGCAATACAAGACATTTGTATGGCAACTTGGAAATGATCTTTATAAGACCCTCGTATATGCCTCCCTTCAAAAAGTACCTATAAACAACTACCGAAATTAGAATGGCCCCAAGGTGCGCATAGGCGTAGGAGGTATAGAGGCTGGGTGGGCTGCAGCCACCCTAATCAGGCAACATTCGTCGCATTTAGGGCTCTATCCGGGCAGTTCCATCTCCATGAAGCTATAATTCTCGGGCAAGATCCATACTAAACCCCCTAAGCCCCCTAGACGTTTTGCGTCCGCTACGTCCATGCAAGTGGCCAGAGGGTAGCTTGAACCAAAGAACGACGGGGGCTTGCCGTCCAAACTATAGAAAAATTACCCACATTTAAGGATTTGGAGAAAGAATACTCTGTTCTAAGGTTTATGAAATTAGCTGGAAGTAGCTTGGAAGAGACTGAAAAAACGACGAACTACAACAGACATATTACATTACACTCTTTTTTATAAGAACCAGTAAACTGAAGTTAAGTTAATTTTTCAAAATGCGAGGCTTGATTGTTTTTAACTTATTCTTAAATTAATAAGGAGTAAGAAGTGCGATTGCTAGCTTTTTCGCTCTAGGGAGGTTCAGGCCCCATTTGCCAACAAAGAGAGTGAGACAACCGTAATTTGCCGACAGGTGTGAATACACTCATTTTTTTATAAAAAAACTGGCTATAAGAAACGAGTACTGGACAGTCAGAAAAAAATTAAGAAACCTCAGAACTCGAAGCAAAAAATATAAGAAACAATTAAATCCTAATAAAACTGATAACAACGAAACCCAAAATCCAAGAACGTGATGGCCCTGTTGGCCTAGAACTTAAGATACAAGGGATAAAAATATACTTCTCATATTTAAATACAGTATCAGAACGGAAGCGAGTCTCTTGACGTGATAAAAAAGGTCACGAACATTTCATAACATCATTCATGACGTCATACTTAAGAAAATCTTAAGAAAAATGAGTATTGAAATTTCCAGAACTTTAAGAAACTGGAGTACTCAACATCGACCTTTGTTTCTTATAGAAAAATGAGTGTATTCACCGAAAAAACACCCACACATGGCTAAAACCCCTCAGCTTCAGCTTGTTCTTAATTTGTTTTTAACTTTTGACCAATTTTGAGGCTCGCATTCTTATAAAATTGTTCTTATAAAAAAGAGTGTACGTAGCAAACATTGCTTGGTCAGGAAGGACTTTCTGTAAACACAACATTGATAAGGTTTCTCAACAGTAGAGCCAATTCATCTCTATGAAAACCAACACATTTTTTGAAGCTAATATTTAGGGATTTTGAAGACTTACAACCCAACCATATAGGCGGCATGACCCCATCCAGCTACACATGAGAGTCCCCCCATCCCTGGGCAGGTGGCTAATGCAAGGATTTACGATACTGAAACTTTGTGTCAAAAACCATTACGTAACCTTTTCCTATTTCCGCTCTTGTCGACACAAAAGATTAGTTCCTGGAAAAGAATGTTCTTTGAAAATTTAGAACTTTGATCCTTCCGGATGCCTTTTTGCTAGAACTAATAGATGGTCCATACCATAAATCATACTATTTTGAAACATTTATGGGCTAACAATGGTTTTCTAGAATTATTTCTTTTCGAAAACACAAGGTGTTAGATTCCAATGAACAACTAAGGACCTACACTAAAAAAAGGGTTTATCTTCAAAGGATTTTTAATGTCAAGAAACTTTCAGTACCCAATGATTGGTATTTCCTACACCATGTTTTGAACCAGATTTTGTTTCTGAGATTGCTTATGAGAAAATACATGTATAAAGTTCACTTCTAAAATCTTCAAATATATTTTACTAAGCAAAAACATCACTTCAGTTAATAAGTATTTACTTAATAGGATTTTAAAGTGGAAAATATCTATCAAATTCTCTTAAGAAATCTCGATACTGCTTTCACACTGACAGATGAGTTATGTTTCACAATTTATACTTGCAATTACAATAGCACTCTAAAAAGGCATGTTTGAAATCAAGACAGTTAAAAATGATGTACTTTCAAAGGATAATTCATGTAAATTATTTACACCAAAATCTAATATGGTTATTTCTCACTTCATATGTTATTTGACAACACCAGTCAGAGAGTTATCAAAAAATGTACATTACAACTGCCTTACTTTTTACAAAGCTAATCTAAGATATATTTACATCATCCACATTCAAGGGTATAGTATCAATTTGATCCAACTGCATGAAAATAACTGTTACTATATTCAAATAAGGCATATAATTATAGATAATTTGGCTCAAATAAACAGGCCTTAGAGGTGGGATAAAAAGGAAGCCATGAGCTTGGTGGTGGGGTAGAATTTGCATGTAAACATGAATGATTTCATCCCACCTAACAGCTTATGAGCTGAAAGGTAGAATAAATTTGCACATATAAACAGACTCTAAGTTTTTAAAAGGCTAATCTTGTATGAATATATCAACATCATCCATATTCTAGGATTTGGTATCAATTGTGTTCCAACTGCATGAAAATAACTGATTCTATGTACAAACTAAGCAGAAAACAAAAAGTATTTAATATGTTCACCATGATGCATTAGGTCTCCTTATAATATTTTCAGATTGAGTCAGTCAGCCATGCAATCAAAATTGATAAAACCCTGAGCACTTCAAATTAAATTGGTAATATCTCATTAATTATGGTTTTTAATATCAACAAATTTGTTATTTAAAATTTTTGCTTAATGAATATGGAATGTACTCATACTAGCATCTTTTAAGGTATTTGTACTAATACCTTTGAAGATATACAAAAACTAAAGACAGTTTCTGGCAATTTGAGAAGCTTTGTCGGAATCTAGCATCACTCAACAATTAAACATGATCGATTACAGAGTGAAAACTTAGCTTTAAGAAATTTTGCTTCCCTTTAAGAAAATAGGCAACTAATCTGTATATTTCACCACATTCCCTTATCTATCATAATTCAAAGGCATGTGTGCACCTTCTGTCAATAAAATTTAACTCAAAACAATAATAATTTGACATTCAAACCTATTGAATTTTATTTTGTTTTTGATTTGTGACTAGTATTTTACACATACAATTTTCCACTACAACAATTGAAAACTTAAATGAACTGACACACAAGTCTTGTTGAACTACAGCTTATCCCACTAGCTTGGCAAACTGACTTGAAATCCATCTTGGCCAGTCATCTAAAGGAATTCCATTTTGTTTTACTTTCACAAAGAGCACATCTGGCTTCATTAGATTGACACCATTAACATTTTTCCCCCAAAGGCTTAGATTTAATTTGACACCAAGAAGCAATGAATAGAAATACTTCTGTTCAATGTAATCAATGTGTCGCCTTGATGCTTGGACCCTGTCCTCATAATTATGGATTATTGTGTCCCTTTTGATCATTTCTTCATTGTTGTTTGAGTGAGCATTTGCAAGTGCATCTCTTAGCATGTTGGCCTCATTTTGACTGCTTTCAAGTTTATACTTTGCTCTGACAAGATCAGCATTTACGTCTTCTATAACCTTTTTTAACTTCTCGAGCTGCTGCTTTTGCAGGTTTTCCAAATTTGTTCGGGATCTATGAAGAGCATTTTTCAGTTCTTCCTCCCTTTCAGTAACACCATCAATAGTTCTCACATCAATACACTTTCCACCAACATTAATATTAACATTTGCAAGATTGCCAAAAGCTTCTGCCATTTTTTGGAGAGACTGGTCTTCTTTCATCTGATTTGCTGAAAATTCTTTCAAAAGGTCTCTTATCTGGAGTTCTCTTTGTTGACTTTCTGTTTGCCTTGTTGACAGTTCCAAAGCCTTCTCAGCGTTTATATCAATTTTCATTCTCTCTATTTCTTGCCTTGCTTGGTTACACAATTCTTCTGCTGCAATGAGTTTCTGCTGTAGGATTTTTTCAGTCAAAGTTCCCTCACAATTTGAACCATTCTGATTTTGACCGTATAATTCAACACTTCTAAGTTCACTGCGAAGATGGCTCATCTCAATATCCTGATCGTCAATCTCTTTTTTAAGACGGGAGACAGTTGATTCCAGTGTTTCACAGTAGTCTTTGGATGCAGTTAGATCTTCATGTGGTCCTGGTGGATTGTCTAGGCGAAAGAATCTTCTAACTGGATCAGACTCCATAACGTCCTGTAGCTCGAACAGTGTTTTCAGGAAGCTCTCTAACCCTTTCTGCCGTTTCGTAATGAACTGCCTATCAAAATTGTTCCTGAAAACCCTTTTAGGTGGCAAGGTTAGAACAAATCCTGGGAACAGTCTCTTAAGCTTCTTATTAAGAAGCACGAAATCTGAGTACCTACGATATACAACCCAGGTACGTTCGCCATTGTTCACCTCAACTTTGTACAAGGTAAATCGTTCTCTAGGTGCAAACGTTTCTTGACCTCGAATTGCAGATATATATCTAGGTCGGCCGTTGTGGCTTGCAAAAGAAAAGCCACTTCTGCCCCCAAAAGATTGCTCTGATGGTGCAATAGAGGAGTCATCCGATGGCTCATCGCTGCTTCTCTCTGCCATTTTGTATACCATCAAGAGTATCAAACAGGGCCTAGAAATTTACTTTCCTGGTCATGTGATAACGGTTCCACCGCAGCGTATCACGATAGAGGTGAAAGGTCGAGGTGTAGTTTTTGTGGAATTGTTAGCCCCCCTCCCCCTATATTGATAACTCGATCACATATGAGAAAAGATAAAAAACTACTGTGTTTGCCACTATACAAGGAAGTCCAAATGTGCATCCTGTTTAGGAGCAAATCCTTTTGTAAAGTTTTTATAGCCATTCACATACAATTTCACCTTATATAGTCACTCACATATAATTTCACTGATCAGTGGGATCACTGTCAAATTTACACCCATATCTGTGATTTAGGTCTATGATTGTTCAGTGTAGCTTGGTTTACAGTCACAATCCACTCAGGGGCGGATCCAGAGCAAATTTGAAGGTGGGGCAGTTGGTAGTGGGGGCACTACGAGAGTACGCTGTACACAACAATTTCAGATACCTTTTCAGAATAAACAACATAACTTTGAGGTAATCCTTGAAGCAAATTAACCTATCGGTACAAGAACCTTTTTCATCTGATTCTCATTCTTCAAAAGGGGCGCACAATTTCCAAAAAAGGGGCGCAACTGCCCCCTTAAATCCGCCACTGAATCCACTTACTGTCACAGATTTTCAAGCAATTTTTGGTGCGACTATAACCCGAGTCTACTGCAAGTGTATTGTTTATATCAAAATTCCATAACTTTATTATATCTATGACGGCGGGGGTTCCTGTACGACAAAATTTATGTCCAAAAGCCCCTCCCTTTTCTAGCTTGTCATAGCGTATTACAACGATTTTTACAGTAAATGCAAAAATGTATAGTGACTTGGCAAACACATTGACTTTGTAGACAGAAATGGGTTCATAGCAACAAAGGGTTTTAAATGACTGAAATTTATAATGAATGAAATACTTATAGTTATTTAAAATGTTAGTTTTCTGATCATTCGTTATCAATCCTTGGCAATTCTTTGCATAAGAAGCTTCGTGGACGTCTCTACATTATCTCATTAATAAGCAAGTAACCTATTTCGACCTTCTCCAGACACCATCCAATCTGGCGCTTAAACATTTTAATAATAAAGATTGAATTATTTTTAAAAGAAAATAAAGGAGTTCTACAAAAATTTATGCTGCCACAGTATTAAACTTGCTTTAAGAAAAATATGATGTATGCATATACTTGTTTAGCAACCCGAAATGTAAATTATTCCCCCCCCCCCCTCTCAAGTTTCCTATCTTAATGCAATTTCCAAAAATGGTATTAAATACTGCATAATTGAGTCAGAATGGGATAATCTGACTCAGTTGATCCACCCTAGCTTGTGTACTTGAAAGCTAGGGGTGTGGAGCACATGCTACTTCACCCCTTCTGCTTAGATAGGATGATATTCTATCTTTATGGTAAGGACACAGGGTTTCCAGTTTTCAGTGGACGATATCACATGATCTGTGATTGCATCATTGGTTGCAAGATAGGCCTACTTTTGCATTTAGCTGTCGTTTTACCAGAATTATGCTTAGAATGAAGAACTAATATCCGATATTAGTTAGTATATCGGTACATTTGTCGGAGCTTTCTAGCAATCCTGTACGTACACAGAGTTATTTGGGCTGGTGTCTTAGGCCCTAAACGCAGACCTACCAAGTCACATGCATTTTGCGTGAGACACACGCATTTCGGTCCTTTCTCACGCTCACACGCATCAAAGCAGAATCCTCACGCATTTTGCAACAAACTTCTTGGTTCATTTAAATTTTTCAATTTTATTCCAAATCCTAGCAAAATCCCTCTTGCCTAACAAGGCATGTTAGCATGAAAATAGCAACTAGATAATAAGATGACTAGATAGCAGCGAATTTGCACAGGTTGGTAAAGTGACGTTACATTTATTTGCAAGCCTACACAAATATCAGGTTAGCTTTTTCGCAACTATGACCATTGTGAATTGATTGGAGATGTAAAAGAGCAGCATAATATCCCTTAAGTTAAAGGCTCAATATAGCAGATTTCAATCGGAGCGGTCGGAGCGGAGTAACTTTTTCTCGAGAATGATATTTGGGGTTGCAGTTACACTACGATGCTCCTCCGCTTGCTTGTTTGCCTGTATTCCATCCTCTGCATTCCTGGTTCACAGTGCTGTGCACTTTTGCGATCATTTGGGCAGCGCAAATTCACCAGATTAAATTATTTCATGGTGATGTACTGTTATACATTCTTTCTCAATAAAGAACTGAAAATAATGGCGAAAAACAAAGCCTCCTCAATCCCCCACCCGCTTCTGTGCGGTCCCTGCTGAAAAAAGGCATTTCCGAAGAACTAGAAGGCATGGTAAAAGAAAATGCTCGGGGCTACACCCCAGACCCTACTTTTGGTAGTGTGGCAGTCAGGATTCGCTCTGTACCAATCATTTTCCCTCCCTTTTAAAAAAATCTCACTCATTTTCAAAACTGAAACTTGACAGGTCTGCTAAACGCACCGAACATGATTTCAGGAAGAACGTCTGACACACTTAATCTCTATTGTGCATAGAGAAAAGGGGTGAAGCCAGTTAGTAAACAAATGCTGATTTTCCATTGCGCCCACCCAAATTGCCACTGAACCAAATCCACTAATCCCTTAAAGGCTCCGTCGTCCTGCCCCAGAGCAGAACGAGCTCTGGAAAACGGAAATGATTAGCAATTAACGCATTTTTCTGGTGCCACAGAATACCCAAAGTCAAGTCGTTCTTTGTTTCAAACCACATTACATTAGTCTAACAGCAAACAACCACTTCACACACGAACTGCAGCGCGCTCGAATTTCCAAGCAGAAATCGGATTATCTTTGTCAAACTTGAAAAAGTATTCTCGCTTTTCCACTTTGACAGATATGATGAGTTTTATGTCAGAAATCAGTGCGTCTAGGGCCTTAAGAGGGCTAGATCCCTGCTGACATGTTTGTTAAATTTCTCTTGGAAATAATAATCCATAATTCACTAAGTGACTAGATTCTGAGAACGGTTCACAACATTGAGACAATACCTTTTTACCAAGATCAGTCTTCGCCATTCCCTTATAAATTTTCCCAAAATATATTATTCTTGGTTCTTTGGGTAACTTTAAATCTACAAACGTTTTTACTTGTCCTCTGGCTACTATCAGGATTCTTATGGTTACACCCTATGGGGCTTTACGAAAGAAATGACGTCGTCTTTCCAGTGTTTGGTACACGGAATGGTTTACAGGGCCGTCGCTAGCGGGGGGGGGGGGGGGGGGGGGGGGTGCGGTCAAGCAGTCGCAGAAAATATTCACGTACATGCTTTGTTATTAACAAGTGTATGTGTGGGTTTTATCCATGAACATTGATCAGTATGAGTCCTTGCGATACAACAGACTGCCTCACAAACATAATAGATTCCTTTTCATAGTTAAATACATTTTCAAAATCAAAGGCTCTGTTAAGAATCAAATCTTGTAAGGTTATTAAGTATGCTAAACCAAGAGTTTTACACTAGGCACAGATAATAAAATTGGATATTATCGTGGTGTATCCAAGGGCAATGTTTTTGTTGTTTTTTTATAGAAAACCCCCCCTAGAAAATTCTTGTCGGCAAATTTTCTAAAAGTAGTTTTACTTTCGAAGTTCTCAATGCGATAGCTTTAGCAAAAAGTTTGGATAAGATGAGGATAAGTCCGAAGAAGTATCACCCAAAAAGCCTCAGCAATTCAAAATAGGTACAGATGGCATTATGGGTGTCACGGAGGGGCAAATGTCCACCAAAAATTTCAAATGACTCCCTGTCGGCAGCCGGAGTCTAGAATCTAATGTCCAATATCCAGGGCGACCTAATTTCTACCTAAAGTTTGGGGACAGTTTATTGAAAAACTCTGAACGTTGATCCTGGAAGTACTGGAACCACTGTAAGCAGGGCTGCTGAGGGGAGCAAGGGGGTTAAGTGCCTCAGGGCCTTGAGGTTGATGGGGCCTCAAGTAGTAATGAACTCCATTTTAAGGTTACGTTCACATTACTCCGTTTTCGATTAGATTTGTTTTTGGCAGCAAAAACGGAGCAGTTTTTATCTCTGTTCACACTACTCCGTTTTCAGACAGAAACGGATATCTATTAATTGGTGTTCACACTAGTTCTCAAAAACCCATCTGTTTTTCTGAACGAGGCTTCTGATATTGGCGTTGCTAGCGTTTTCAAATTGTTCCGTTTTTGGTGTTCACACTACAGAGTTGCGTTTTTGTTGAGCTCCGTTTTCATTTAGCTCCGTTTTTATCATCGTTTTCATTTTGCTCCGTTTTTGGGGTAGACTAATGTGAACGCAAAGCCAAAAACGGAGCTAAACAGATGCGTTTTTGTTCAAAAACGGAATAGTGTGAACTCAATGAAATCAATGAAACATAAAAGAAGTATGCCTAAAAATAGTTAGAAGTTTTAAACGATTGCAAGAAATGACTGCAAGAAATATTCTGAAATGCATTTTAAGACAATCTAAAGGGCGTGGTCGCAAAAAATTTTTGCTCGCTCCGCTCGCAGGGGCCCCCTTTTTCGGGTTTCCTTCAAGGCCTTCGAAACCTCTTGGCGGTCCTATTAGTAAGATCTACTCATGCAAACTAAGTACCCACAGTCACTCTAAAATTGAAGCGATGATTGACTAACGAGAACACACTCTTTGATAAACAAAACCAATTGCGTCAAAATACCACACCCAAAAATTGAAATACCTTTTGCCACGCCCTATTTTATTGGCAAATTTGTGACTGGCACCCCCCTGAATGAAAGTGATTAGCGACGGCCCTGATGGTTTATGTTCTTAAAAGGAAATACTTTTAATGAATCTTCCTTGATGAGCACTACTACGATATGTAAAAAGCAACAAAGTACCAGTTTGCTCATTCATCGTTTCGTTCCATGGTTTTTGCATTGTTCGGGTTCCCAACACGATTACAGCAGTGCAGACCCTTGGTTCTAAGGGATTCAAGAGTTGCCCAGATTTTTCATTTTTGCACACAGAAAAGCCCTTGTTAAGCGACCTTGCTATAGTTGCTTTATCTTTTAACAACAAAACTCGACTGTTCGAATGGAATATTTGCTGTCAGAATACTGCTCCGCATCGGCTTTGATTTTTACAATGATTTTTACGTCTCTCCATTGATTTTTACATAGAAGTCCACAATAACATCAACTTAAGTTCAACTCCCTACGTTATTGTAAAGCAACGAATAGGTTAGTTTATGTTAAACAAAACACACAAATTTAGTAAGAGGTGAGCTTTGCGAACGTTGCTGGTGGAGAACTTAACTGGTGACATTGACAGAGATGAAGGGAGGGGATGGAGGTTGATGACAGGATTTTATTCCAGCGAATAAATACATAGACCCACCATTTTGGTAGAAGGAAGAGCAAAGCTCATAACCACGGCATTTGAGATGAGGAGGGATGGTGTCACTATTGTCCAGGTCGAGAGGTTTGATCTTGGTCTCTGTTAGAAAATGTGCAGGGGAGTTTGGTTTGCGGATGATGGTGCACAGAATTATGGTTGGAAGAGAGTCGTTGTTAGAGAAAGGAGATCGAGAAAGATTTGGAAGTTGCCACATGCTGTTGATTGGTTACTTGAGCTCGAGGCTGAAAACATATTTAAAAGTAAGAATAGAGATGATTGGCCTATTACTATGGCAAAAGCAGCAACCAGCCGAGCGCAACGGAGAGGCCCTATGACCCTCCTATTGCCTCAGATGGACCTTCCAGAGCTGCGAGCTAGTAGTGGCTCCAGTCGCCAACTGGTATAACTGGCAGCCCAGGGTTATTCACAAGCTGATAAGGCAGCGTCCAAAAGCGCTAACAGTGGGCTTGAGCCTCTGTATCATGTGGCGATAGGCCTACAGTGCACCTTTCCCGTCGGTACCCTCAGGAATGGCCAAGAATCGAAATAGCATAACAGCTGCTGCTGCCCCCAACACCAGCGCGTTCGCCAACCACAAGGACCGGCAACTCAACCCTAGTGCTGAAAGCGACAGGGTTACTGAAGGCACTGCTAAGTAGAGGGCTGGCACTACCCCGGGTGATGAGGCAGGCTCACCTACCAACAAATGAAGTCACATATAGTTTATGTAGACTATGTACACCATATATTTCTAATGTTTAAAACTTGCAAGGATGACATTCATCGATATTACTATTGTTTACAAGTTGTTGTTAGTTAGCAGTTTAGTAGCTAACATTGTATGTTGTAAAAATTTGAAAGTCTCAATTTTGTGCAGCCAAAAAGTTGTTGTCTTTGTGTAAACCAACGTTTAATAAAATGAGTAAAAAACCTGAAAAAAAAACAGATTTCTATTGAAAATCCTGCAACTGTTTCTTCATGAATTTTTTATATCTTCGTGTTAAAAGCATTCACTAAAGTTGGCTCTTAAAAGGTAAATAGTTTTAAGAATTGCAAAAACTAACAAAAGGGTGTGATATGAGCTTCAACAATCGCTTTTCCTCTTTAGCATTTTCTGACACTTTGCTTTAGCGTTTTCCGACTCTTTGCTTTGGCTGTCTACACATTTTAGACGGATAACCTCGAGGATAAAGTTAACGAGGGTTTTTTAATTGCATCTGCGTACAGGGTCCGTTTTACAGGTGTCCAGGCTGGTTTTATGTACATTAGAAAAACGAATTGCAAACTTTTACAAGCTTTTTTAGATGTTAGTTTACATTGATTTGATGGCATTAGATAGCGATGTCAAAAGCAAAGTACGATGCAGATTCACAAACAAGCAATATTAAACATCCAAGAAAAAACAGATTCCTATCAGGCCAGACGAAAAGCTAATCCTCGACGAAGTAATTGGAAATGGCAGGTAATTAAAATATTCTATTAAAGGTATGATTTCTGGAATTCTGTTTGTGTTCTAAAATAAGCTTTGATTTTATGAAATGTCTCTGCAACTGACGCTGCCAGGATTCAGGTTGTTGCGGTAAAAGTTTTATTTTTTTGCATTTGGCTATTCGCAACACAAAGCAATGACTTTTCAACGCAACAATAATTCAAATTGCCATTTTTTTCATACAGTTATAACAATCTCTTTGATTTAAGGATTTGGCGTAAAGTTTCCTCGTTGGAGGCTGATGTCATGCAATTAAGAGGCTGACTTCATGCAAGCAATAATTTCATCTGTCTTATACTTTATTTTAGGGCTTGTCTCCAAAAAAGCTGCGATATGACTGATTTCAGCAGGACAGAAAATATTGTGTTAACCCTTGTTTTTTCGGCCATAACCGTTGTTGGAGCATGTGGAAACTTCATTGTACTAACATCAATATGTTGTCGCAAATCAGCACGTAAGATTCAAGGTAACATTTTCATCGTCAGTCTTGCGTTAGCAGATTTTCTTTCTTGCACACTTTGTGGTCCATATTACATACGAAGTTTTCATGTTAGTGAGTTCTTTAAAAGCAAGTCGACGCAGTCTTGGTTGTGCTCTGCCATCTTAGTCGTGGTCTATCTGCTATCCATAGAGTCCATTCTCTCACTGACACTGATGTCCTTGGATCGTTTCTTTGCTGTCAGACTGCCGTTTTGGTACCAAAAGACAGTTACTAGGAAAATCTGTATAATCTTCATGTTAGGCAGTTGGGTATATTCATTTGCCGCTGTTTTCCCTGCAGTCGTTACTTCGAGCTGGATATCGTACGAAAATCGGCCTGGCTCACCGTGTGGTTTTCAGTGGACTAAAGCAAATAGCTTTTACATTGGTCTAGCAATATTGTTGAGTTTCGTGCTACCGACAATAATAGTATCTGTAACAAATAGCTATGTGTTTAAGACTGCACGTGACCAGAACCGAAAAGTCAAAGCAGTTAGGAAAGTAAATGAAAAATTGGAAGATGTATCTGCTAAACATGTGGGTAGAAATTCTCATGGAAGGCTCCGAGAAACATCAAATAATCATCGAGAGACACTGGGAAGCGATTCAAAGTTAAAAAATAGCGCATGTATTGGTGGCAACGATCTTATGCCCTCCCCCAACAATGGTAGTTGTATTTGCTGTTTTGGTCAAGATAGCAGATCTAAAAAGCCGGTTCGTGATGATATAAACATGGATACTGCCAGTTCCAGTATATCATTCAAACCTCGATATCAGCTCCCAGATAGGTGTTCACATAAGAGGCGGTTTGTGGTTTCTAAGCCTCCGTCAAGTAACAGACAAGATCATCAACATATCAGCATTCAAGTCGTAAGCACAAGAAACCTTTCACTCAATAACATCAATGATTTTAAGTCTTCAATCGAGGATAGTGTACACAGGGACGGCAAATCTCTAAACTTTCGGCTCCAATCTCATACCTTCTCTTTGTCAGAAAACAACTTACAAGAGCTTTGTAAAGGGGCACACGAATCGACACGGGGGAAACATATGAGGATCCAAAGACAATGTTATGAAATTAAGAGAAGTACTTCGGCTAGAACAGAAATGAGACTTGCCTTTTCTACTCTGTCGATCGCGCTATGTTTTTTAGTTACCTGGTTTCCCTTTGTGATAACTAGAGTGTTGAGATCAACACTTGGATTCCACGTGTCGGACAAGGTGCTTAACGGTTTTAACGTATTTGCGTTGATGAGCTCGCTTTGCAACCCATACATTATTTTATTCTCCAGGCGGAACATTTTCATAGGCTTCAAAAGCATTTTGAGGAAGATGAAGGAGACACTTTTGCAACGATAAAGCTATACACCAACTTTAACACAAATATACTTCACACATATGTATAATCAGTTGCATTCAATATCTTTACTTCCGACGGACAATTCCCAATAACGCACACCTCAAATGACAGGCAGTCCTTATTCAAACAATCAAGATCTTTCTCAAAATTGACTTGCCTTGATTCCAGATTCCAAATTGACTTTTCTTATTTCCTTCTCAACCAGATCGACACGAGAAATTATGGCCTTTTGATTTTGTAGAATTGATTCTTGGCCCACCTTCAAGCATTGTAGAACTTCATGAATGGCAGAAGGTACACATCCTTATAACGGACCCTGCCCAATAGCCGACTTCTTCTAAGCATTGAAAAATAATTCTGTCTCAAAATTTTTGCCTGCAATCGAGCCATATAGAAGCAGCAGATACAATGATATCATTGAGCAGATACCTCTCAACAGTGGGCAGAAATTTTAGTCCCGCACACATTGAGGTTTCACTGGAGGCCATCTATACCTTTTACTCTTTCACGTGCATGAACCGAGGACTTTCCGAAAACCAAGAGCATCTGGGAATGTCAATGACAAGAAATAAAGCAATTGTTTAGAGTTAAATGAATTAGCAAAATATTTTGTTAATGTGAAGGAGCGGATCAAAGAGACACTTAAGGACAAGAGCTGCCCCGTGAACATCAAAGCGGAAAGACTAAAAGAAAAAAATTGTGCTATTTCTCTCAACTAGCCCCAATTTGCATGGACCATGGCTTCAAGATTTGGTTTGCAGAAAGACGAATCAGGACAGAGAAAGTCAAACAAAATATCGATAAAAGACGATACTTCTAGATATCGTTGTCAGAATATTTACATTTCAAGTTGTGAACAACTTGAACATCCTTAGAGACATCTAACTATAATATCTAGATTATTTTGTACATTTTTTTCCAACAATATATACAAGAACGAATAGTTCAATATTTAGTAACAAAGAATTTTTCAGTACGCATGGACAAGCGTCCCCGTCAAATCTCCGATCAGTACTTCCGTCTGAGAACTTTACTCTTGAATAATTTATATTGGATAGTTTCACGTGTCTTATATATATATGTAGATAGATTATCTACTTCCTTGAAAAGCATCCACCAAAGTAAACTTTTACGTGCATTTCAAGGTGTCCTTCAGCTGAAAAATAAATCGATATTTGTAGAGCACATGGAAAAGTGATCTTTCGAAAAGATAGCGAACTTAAGTTCTTTTGATGCTTTTAGAATCTCGTCGCTTAAATGTCATGTTTAGAATCTCATCTCATCACTTCTGCTTCTAGCTGACTTGTCTTTTTATTCCTTGTTTCATTATATGTATACTGGTTGTAAAATTATACCCTTCTTTAAAGAATCGTTACTGTTTCACATTAGACATACCAAGGCATGTCTTTTGTCTTTTCTGTCCGATAAAAGATTAGTAATTTTTATGCCGTGATACGCCTCTGAGCAAATGCCAGAATCCTGGTGGATAGAAATGAAGCCAAAACCATTTTTCATACAGCAACATTTGTTTCGCTCACTTATGTCCTAGCAGATCTGAAAAACCTTAATTTTTCTTTCAGTATGCTCTGAAAGTCCCTTCTCGTTCCTAAGACAATGAGTGGGTTGCAAGCAGAATTGATTATTGTTAAGGATGATGTCCAGATAACAGTATTCCATGAAAAGAGCCTTCTGTTCAGAACGAAAGTTACTCTTGATAATGCAAATGGAAGCCAAGTCACAGCAAAGACCAGTACTATTACCAGCGTCGAAAATGCAATAATGATGTCATGGAGACTTATACGTTCTGTTTTTGCTCTTCTGCTACTTTTCCCGGCTGCGCTTTCTATAACTGCACTGTTTTTAGCCATTATCATCTCTTCTGTGTGAATGGAATAGGCCGGTTTGTCCTCGTCTACAGTGAACAGATTCGCGGGCCTTATACACCTTTCTCCAGTTTGCAATTCACACATATTGTTGTTGCATTTAACCTTTGACCCCTTACATCCACCATGACAGTCAGAAATAGCCGTAGATGTAGGGGTCTTTTGAAATGGGCAACTGTCTGTATCCGCTGGCGTAGGCTCGTCTGAATCTGCTTCATTCATGCCAAAGACCAAAGATTCTTTCTTTATGCCGACTCTTACACGGGTATTCTCGGCTAATATTTGTTTTCTTTGTTTTCTTGCTACATTGAACACCACAACATTGCTTGCAACTAAAACTAGTAAAGGTATAACGAAGTTAAGAACAATATAGGGGATCAAATATCCCAACTTGCCATCCCAAACGAACCCACACGGCGCTCCAGGTTGTCCGTCGTAGTTGGTCCAGTTTGGAACAATTAGCATTGGAAGATTAGTAGCCAGTGACTGCAGCAATACAAGACAGTTTGCAATAACAACCTTCCACCCTTCAACAAACTTTTTGTACAAGAATGGGCGCATAATCGCGAAATAGCGATCGGCAGACATAAGTGCAAGCGACAAGATGCGATTGATTCCGATGGCGTAAACAAAGAACGCGCCAAACTGACAAGGCAGGCTGTATTTCTGTCGTAGCGATTCTTTGAATGCAGGTAAAAAAAGGCTTATCATAAAATATGGAACGATGATTACCGACCCGAGAAGATCAGTCATTGCTAAAAATATCAGGTAGATATATGAAATATTTCGCCATTGCTTTCTGTTTTTCAAAGCAGCATATAACACGGCTATGTTCCCAAGAAGACCAATTGTCCCAAATAGGGCGTAGTATATGCCCAGAGCGATTTTGTATCCTGTCTGCATAACCGCTCGATAGTTCCTGAAAAAACAAGAATATGTTTTGGATGTGACAGTGTAATAGATTAATATAATAGAATTGATTGTAAAATAAATTAGTTTTAGTGAGCCATTCTTATCGAGACATTTTTATCGAGACATTCCTCCTGGTTCACTCAAATTATGATATTTAAAATCTATCAGAATTGATCATTTGGATACTAATCCTATCAAAAATATGGCGTTTCGAATTACCCTCTTCACCTTACTTTTTAAGTGACGCAAAGTTAATTTGATTCTAGAATTCGATCTTTCTGAGCTAGTGGGAGTTCGTGCACAGTGAGTGTACTTGAAGAAATTCTGACAAGGTGGCTAGACTGAAAGTTTCGTTTTTCTTATTTTCGCGTTTATTTTTTGGCATTAAATTTCGATTATATAACTCGAAGTTAAATTGTCTCATTTACAATTCATTCTTATTTTCACTTTCATAGACTTAGTTTCGTTTTGTATTTGAAATAAACCATTACTTTATACTTGTTTTAAGATTAATGCTTTCGTTTAATTTTGTTGTAAAAGGTTGGTTTGAAAACACATTATACTTAACTTATCTTGCGCAAATAATTCAATAAAATTCAAGAAAAAGAAAACAGCGAAGACAAAACAACATAAACAGAAGCAAACTTGATGTTTTACTCTTTTTATTTACCGTGTTCTATGATGCATTTTAGGTGAGCTTAGACAAATTCATCCGAAAAGTTAATGAATAGTTTTCTCAAAGCGAATTTAAAAATTCTTAAGCAAGCTTGGCTGTCTCTTATTTACAAAATCACTGATAGTTGTTCTGTTCTCACAAGATACTTGAAGGTTGACCAGCCAAGATTCTGAATAAGCGTAAAACCAGAAGCATTGTATGGACTGCTTTCTATTATCCGCACAAGTCTATTTCGAACGTATAATGTTGATACATTCGCTACAGCAGTCATAAACGGGCCATGCGGCGGTCGTTTGTTCAGTTGCGCTTTGCCGCACAGTTGACATTCCTGTCCACCATGTATTTAAGTGGAGGTCGACCTTTTATCGTGTTATTATACCTAAATTTGCCTTTTTTCATTTGCATAGCTAAAAAAAGCTAATTAAGGCCAACTAAACTAAAATAGAAATACAATTTACATTGAAGATACAATTTACAATTGAGAAAAATAAAGTAAATTAATCTATAAGCCCTAAATCTTTAATAAAAACTTTGCACAATCTGCAATGAAAGTCATTGAAAGTCATGACATGAAGAAAATTATCTCTATCAATCGATCGTACAGTCTATATATGTCATAAAATGCGCACGTTTATGACGTACGCAGCCCTACGTATAATCCATTAATAATTGTCATAAAGTGAACCTTCATTATTATTATTATTATGAGTAATATGCTGAACCTTGCTTTGGTTGCCCTGTGCAACAATTGTTTTGTTATGCTTTGTTATATTAATAAGGGTGTTATGGAATTTTAGTGGAGTTGTGTTTTAGGATTCGAATATGAAAGTAAACGAAGGGTCTTCTATATGAATTGGCCTACGGAATTAAGAGAATATAACATTGGCGACGAGGATAAAACCATAATAACATAGCATATGTTATGAAGGATGGCTTTCAGTCTAAATCTACACCCACTTCCTGAATTTGATCCAGATATTGAAGTTGGTGCTAGTCTTTCTACGAGATGGCGACAATGGCTTCGTGATTTCGACACATATATTCTTGCCAGTGGTATAAGAGATCTTGGACGCAAACGAGCCATTTTACTTCATCAAGCAGGTTCCCGAGTTCGCGAAATTTTCAGCCAGATTCCTGATACAGGCGCTGCCGCTGATTATGAACTGGCTCGTGATAAACTCACTGCATATTTCGAGCCTCAAACAAACCGTCGGTATGAAGTATACAAGTTTCGCCAAACTCGCCAGGAACAAGGGGAGACCTTAGATCATTTTCACACACGGCTCCGACATCTTTCTGTCAATTGTACCTTTACGGATACCGACTTCGAAATCGAGGAACAAATAATTGTTGGAGGCATTTCTAACAAAATTAGAAGAAAAGCGTTACGTGACCCAGACTATTCGCTAAAAGATATGTTACTTGATGGCAGAAGGGATGAAATGAGCGAATTCCAAGCGAAGGAAATTGAGTCAAAAGAAGACATGCAACAATACACTCATCGGTTTACGGCTTCAAACAAGGCAGGTAAACAAAAATTGACTGTACCCCCGAAATGTGGAAGCTGTGGTGGTGCACGACACCCAAAGGATCAATGCCCAGCGTATGGCAAAACATGCCATAAATGTGCAAAATCGAATCATTTTGCAGCTGTATGTCGGAGTGCAGCTCAGGACAAGAGACCGAAATCCGGTAGGCCAAACAAACCTCAACGTTTCTCAGTCAAGCCATTGAATTATTCGACACAGTCTAGCGACGATGAATACGTTTACACAATACAACAGAAATCCACAGGGTGTCCTACAACAACAATTTCTATTGCGGGAAAGCCAATATCAATAATGATTGATACCGGCGCCTCCATCAACGTGTTGGACAACACAGCCTTTCAACAATTAGAGGGAATTGAATTACGTCCAACCAAGGTCAAGGCATTTGCCTTCAGTTCAAAACAGCCCGTCTGTTTCAAAGGAAAATTTGAAGCTCTTGTCGAAACAAAGCAAAAATATTGTGTCTCAACATTCTACGTTGTGAGCAGCAAAGATTCAGGATGTCTGCTATCCATGGCTACCGCACAGGAGTTAGGACTTATCAGCTTGAATCTAAGTGCAATTAAGCCCGTTGATGTAACAGATGAGAAACTTTCAACTTTGCTGGATAAATATCGTGATGTATTCAAAGGTTTAGGAAAACTCAGAGACACTGAAGTGCAGCTCAACATTAATCAAGAGGTTATACCAAAGGCTCAACCCCCAAGGAGAATCCCATTTCACATTCGCCAGAAAGTACAGGACGCTGTGAAGGAGCTTCAAAGACAGGATATCATAGAGCCAGTACCTGAAAATCAGCCAACACCATGGGTCTCACCCATCGTTGCTGTTCCGAAGAAAGATGGTTCAGTGCGAATTTGTGTGGACATGAGGATGGCTAACCAAGCCATAGACAGGGTTAGATATCCTATACCCACAGTGAATGATATAAGCCTAGAGCTTAATGGTTCGAAGTACTTCACAAAGCTGGACCTTTCACAAGCGTATCACCAACTACCTCTTGCAGAGGAATCGAGGTATATCACAACATTTTCCACACATTGCGGTTTATATCGTTACAAAAGATTAGCATATGGAATAAATGCTAGCGCTGAAATCTTCCAACACTCGCTTCAGCAAAATCTTCAGGGCATCAAGGGTGTGCAGAACATAGCAGATGACATAATTATTTTCGGTGTCAACAAGGAAGAGCATGACATCGCCCTTGAGAAATGTTTGCGACGTCTACAAGAAAAGGGATTCACGTTAAATGCGAACAAATGCAAATTCTTGCAACCCACATTAGACTTCTTTGGACAGATATTCTCCGAAAAAGGGACTCGCCCAGATCCAAAAAGAATTCAGGATTTGCAAAACGCTTCAATTCCCAAAAATGCAAGTGAAGTGAGAAGTTTGTTGGGAATGGCTAATTATAGCTCCAAATACATCCCAAATTATTCAACAATTACAGCTCCATTGAGAGATCTTATCAAGAAGAACTCGATCTTTTCGTGGAAAAAGGAACATCACAATGCGTTTGAACAGGTAAAACGAGCGCTTACCTCTTCACCAGTTATGGGATACTTTGATATAAACAAATCTACTAGTCTGACAGTTGATGCCAGTCCTGTAGGCATTTCAGCCATCTTATCGCAAAGCTCAAAAGAAAAAAAGGACCATCAAGTAATTGCATATGCTAGTAGGTCCTTAACAGATGTGGAAAGTCGTTATTCCCAGACGGAAAAGGAAGCTTTGAGCATAGTATGGGGCATTGAACATTTCCATTTGTTTTTATATGGTCAACCTTTCACACTTGTCACAGACCATAAGCCTCTAGAGATCATATACGGATCGCCAAGCTCTAAGACATCAGCCAGGATAGAAAGATGGGTTTTACGCTTGCAGCCATATCAGTTTACAATTAAATATAAACCTGGCAAAGAGAACGCCAGGTTTATATAAGCCTGCGGACTACCTATCTCGCCATCCATCTGCTAAAACATCAAAAGAAACAGAGTTCACTGAGGAATACATAAAGTTCGTAACTTCTAATGCAGTTCCTAAGACAATGAGTCTGCATGAGATTGGTAAAGAAACCAATAGCGACAAAGAACTCCAGAAACTTCGCGCCGCTATTCGCTCAGGTGCGTGGGAATCGGTCGATTTGTCATATCGAGCAATCAAAGAAGAACTTTCGATCGGTGCTCAGAATATTATTCTTAGAGGCTCAAGAATAGTCATTCCTCTATCTTTACGCCAAAAGGCAATTGACATCGCGCATGAAAGTCATCAGGGACTGTCCAAAACAAAAGCTATGATCAGAGAGAAAGTGTGGTTCCCAAAAATAGATGACTTAGTTAAAGCAACGATTGATTCTTGCCTTGCTTGTCAAGCAACAGGTAAAGAAAACAGACCAGAGCCATTGCAATTGAGTGAATTACCAACAAAACCATGGGAGAAACTACACATAGACTATTATGGACCACTGCCAACAGGTGACTATCTGGTAGTCATTATTGATCGTTACTCGCGTTTCCCAGAAGTAGAAGTTGTTTCCTCTACAAAAGCTTCAACACTTATACCTAAACTAGATCGTATCTTTGCTGTGCATGGAATTCCCGACAAGATACAGACGGATAATGGCCCTCCTTTCAATGGAGATGAATTCAAGCGTTATTTACACATATTGGGAATAAAACATGACCGAAGTACTCCAAATGGCCACAAGCAAACGGAGAGGTCGAACGTTTCAACCAGCCGCTAGGCAAAGTTATTCAAGCAGCGATCGTGGAAGGAAAACCGTGGAAGCAAGAATTACAAAGGTTTCTTCTACAATATCGCACAACACCGCACTCTACTACGAAAGTTCCACCGTGCGAACTTTTGTTCAACAGACAAATTCGTGGAAAGTTCCCAATACTGAAACGGAAAAGTATTATAAACAAGCACAAGATCGCTCGAGAAAATGAAGAGAAGTCACAGAAATATCAGAAGATGTATATTGACAAGAAGAGACACGCGAAAGAAAGTGATATAGCAATAGGAGATACGGTACTCGTGAAACAACAGTATAAGAACAAGTTCTCATCAAGATTTGATAAAGCCCCATACAAAGTTATCCAACGAAAAGGGACGATGATTACCGCAGAGAACAAAACAAGACGTATCACAAGAAATGTGTCACATTTCAAGAAATTCCCTGCTAGAGTAGATCAGCATGAAGAGTTCGACAGTGATATAGAACAAGAGTTGAACAAAGAAGGAAATCAAGCAGAACGCGAACACAGACTTGGAAATAACGCACGCCGTCAATCAACAAGAGTAAGGAGTCAACCGGTGAGATATGGTGATCCGATACCATCAAGATTTATTCGCTGATTTTTAAAAAGGGGAAGTGATGTCATAAAGTGAACCTTCATTATTATTATTATTATGAGTAATATGCTGAACCTTGCTTTGGTTGCCCTGTGCAACAATTGTTTTGTTATGCTTTGTTATATTAATAAGGGTGTTATGGAATTTTAGTGGAGTTGTGTTTTAGGATTCGAATATGAAAGTAAACGAAGGGTCTTCTATAAGAATTGGCCTACGGAATTAAGAGAATATAACAATAATGATTTGCTAAAGCAAGAGCAGCGGGTCTCCAAAAATAACTGGTACTTTTCATGAAAATCAAACATTTGCTTGCCGTGCAATGTAAACCAACGCATCCTAACCAGGATTAACATGTGGTAGAATAGCCTTATAACTGGTAATAACACCGGCTCTGATAAAAAGAAGAAGCAAAAAGGCTACGTATGCATGGCGATTTGTTATCTTAGATGAGAAGGACATTGTTTAACGATGGTTATATAATTATAGCCCTCTAAGCAAAGATCAATGGAAAGCAGCACAGCCACTGGGCATGAAAAATCTAAATTAGCTGCAAACAGAAATAGATTTTATCCATTAAAAAATTTGCATGTGTTAAACAAAGCCTGAACTTAACTGTGACTGCATTCGTAAAGGACTTCGTAATCACCCGTCAAAAATTTTTGAAACAAGCTAGATTATACCTAATTGAAGCCTATTTTACATGATATAAGAAAGATAAGCATAACACGTAACATAATATAAAACCGAATATATAAAAGTATTTTGCGTTCTTTCATTCATTCTACAAACAAAATTTCATTCTATTATTGACTTTGTGTTGAGAGTGATATGAGCACGGTTAATACGGCAAGCAAAATTTTTATTCAGGCATTCAATTAATTCGTCTTTATCAACGTCATGATTTGTAATAAATCATGATTTGTGTGTAGACAGAAATAGTGAGATAGCAGCGCGACAGATTAGTGATCGCAAGTTTGGGAGAATTAATTTGCCAATCCAACACGCCATTGTTTCTCTCAGGTAACTTTCAATCCGCACCTGCATTTTGGTCTATGTTTACGTTTTATTCAAAACCCAGTCCTCTATGTCCAAAGCCGAGAAGTAGCGATCGATGAATGCTTAATCATAATTTGCTATATTCTCGCTTTTTCATGCAAGACCCTCGGTGTTTTTTGTTGTTGTGGTTTTTCTAATCAAAACACACGGTAGGGACAAGATCGTAAGGTCGTTAAGGGAAAGGATATTCAGCCGCCAAATGAGCAACCCTTGGCATACATATAAACTTAATGAATTCAGCCAAAAGAATGTTTAAACAGAATATGAGCGACTCCATAGTCTTTAACAACAGAATGTTGCTAAGCAAATCATAAGGATGTCTCATGACATCTCTTTACGTAGATCATTCAATTGAGATGAGCTGCCCTAGCAAAGAATCGTCAACATACATGGCATAATTTGCTTTTGAGTTATCGTAATTGTATTGTCAAGCTACTTTTGGGATCGAATTGTTGAAATACTTTTGGGTTTAATGCCATACAGTAAAAGTCTGTTGTCAAAATTTTATATTCCAAATCAAATCAGCAGAATATCTTGAGAGTCGACAAAAGTTGTTTAAGTCTACAAATATTTACCCTTGAAACAGTTAGTAACGAAAAACATTGCTATTGAAGTAGTTGTTTTTGTAAAATAAAAAAGGTTTTGTAAAACTGTTGATATGAAATCCATCCGAAACGCAAAAACAGAATAATTTTCCATGTAGCGGGAGACCAGTAATCAAACTATTCAAGTATAAAGTTTCAATGTATACAGCAATAAAAGGTTCACGTGCTCCCTCAAAACTATAGTACAAACCTACCTCAAGCCTCAATTTTGCAGATCGCTCCTGTACTGATTCAAGTCGGAATTATGGATAAAACATTCATTTAATTCCAATTCAAAACATCGTACCATGTAAAACTTTCACTACAGTAAACTTCTGGCCCCTTTCAGGTCTCAGCACTTCCTATTTGGCTTGAATCAAAAATTGTTCTCAGTTTACAAAAAGAATTTATTCTAAAATATTTTATTGCTTTAGTAAAGAAATATTACTCACAACAGGTGGTATTTACTAGCAATGGTCGTTTGCGATGCATTAAAAAAATTCTTACCTTCGCGCAATAGAGTTCCTTTTGGTTGATTATACTGTCATCTGCAGGTGTGTTTGTCATGGAGATGGCGGCTCCTATGAATTCCGTTTGCTCGACTCTTAAGTGCAGTAAATGTTTAACCCTCCACCTTTTATAGTGCGGCAGAGGAACGTTAAATCTGATAATTTATAAGCTCAGTACATAGATCTTAACTATTCAAGTGGCAAAAATATTATGCGAGCATCTAGCAGCTGTTGACGGTAATGAAAGCTCTATTGGGGACCTATCGAATTTATAAACACTTTCCAAAACATGTGTTCTAAAGCGGCAAGTCTACTTTAATTTGATAAAACATTTACTTTAACCTTGATGACATGTTATTTTGATGGAAAAAGCTGGTAACTTAAAGAAGGTAGAAACTAAGTTAAGATTCATAGATTCTATTTAGAATTTGCTTATGTTCTGTTTTTTACTCAATTATCGATCTATTTACCAAATTTCCCTTGGAACTAGTGGAGGACGCAGCTCTCTCTCCTACCACCATCTCTACTGCTTACGTCTGTTCTGTATCAAGAAAAATACAATCCTTCGTTGGAGAAATTGAACGTTGCTTTCGGACTTCCTAAGCGCAAGTATGTTTGTAAGATCTACACAATTACGATCTTTAAATGAGAAGACAGCATAATTAGTAAACATATAAGTGAAATGTCGTCAAACTTTGAACGTTTATTTGTCTGAGCAAAAGAGACTGCAAAGGAAGAATATGCTTAAGTGTTCAGCAAATAGAAATCAACGCTTGCTTGAACAGCTTTACAGAATCAGCTCCATAAATGATTAGTGAGTATAGTATCCCACTCTTTTGCATGAGAGAATCTTCAAGACCTCAAACTATTTTTTTAAATATGCAACATATTCTTCTGTATTTGCAGCCAGGGGTGCCTCTCCTGCCCTCTTTCAGGAGGGGCAGAGGGGGCAAGCGGTGCCCTGAAGTATTTACTCCAAACAAAAGATTATAAAATCTTGTAGATAATTCATGACTAGTTAAGCCACTCTCATTATTTAATTTCCATAGAAATTCAAAAAATAGAAAAGAGTTCACCCTTTTTGATGTCGGTCATTGGTAACGGAAAATTATTTTCCAGAAGGAGAAGATGATAAAAAAATTCAAAAACCAACAGTTTCTTATAAGATTCTGACTATTTTGCCCCTTTGTCCCCTTCACTATTTACGGTCTTCTGGGCCTCCAACGAACTTTTTTGCAATATCTGGGGGGCATGCCCCCATGTTCCAATCTTCGTCGGAGCCGATGTACTTGACCTGCATTGTATTTTAGGCAAAATAAAATATATGAATTGTTACTCGGGAACAAACAAGGGACCAGGGACCATAGAGATGCCTGGGACCCATTACATGTCTTGTAGACACGTGACTGCTTTTAGTGTTGTGCAAAACGAGGCAAAAACAGGGTAGCCAGAAGTTGACAATAAAACAAGGACGCTCATTGAGGTAAGCAAAATTTTGACTGCAACTTAAAATATATAAGAATGAATATAAAGATAGCTGTGACGAACTCTTAATTGATTTAGTAAAATTTATCTTACCAACTCTGTTAGTGACAGTTTTTGAGCTTAGAAACATTTTAATTTGCCACAAGGTCAAGGTTTAAATTCATAATGTTATGGATAATGGAAAACAAAAACCTGACCGTTACAATACAAGAATTATTTAAATATAAGCACAATGCAATTAATTTCGCCAATAGTGTTTTCAAGGAACCTTCTTTTCAAATCGCTACACAGAATGCCATCTCAAAGCATTGTGAAAGTTAACTAAAGCATGTATGTTTGACCTAAGCACCTGCAGCATTTTGGCAGTAAGAGGCAAGTGCGCCACCTCTTCAGCTTCAGGGGCAGTATGTGCCCTTACAAAATGCAAAGGAAACAGGCACATCTGATAGAGTTTTGATGTACTATTCACAAGTTTGTCCCCCTGTCCTTTTCTTATACAGGCATCCTTGGTTTAAACAATCTTCCCGTTAATTAATCATGCAGCTACAGGCGTATAAATAATGAGGTTTGTTACATAGAGAGAAAGGACAAAGACACTGCTTGATAAGCAGAGATTCTCAGTGTCCTAGAAACTATCTTCTGATGCTAGGTAGAAAAAATAAAAAGTCATAACATCTTCATGTCACCTCCTTAAGTCAAACAGGGTGTAACTCATCTCCCAGACAAGCTCATTCCTTTTACCAATATCAAATTTCACAAACTGTGATGCATGCAAACCTCATTGGGATGCAATGTATTGTTTCCATTCAACTTTGATGGTCAATTTTATATACAGTTGCAATGTTGGCTTGCAATATAAAACTGACCCCACTGTCCATGTGTTTGCCTAAAGTTGCAGACTGGTTGTTAAATTGAGTCAAAAGTCTGAAATTATTTCTACTAACTTCTGTCATCCAAATGGTAAATGCCTATCTTCTCAAAATATGGCAATAAGATATCAGAAATTTGATTGTCTTTTGATTAAAACCTGTACAAGAGAGTTTCGGTGTTAATCAAGTTTGTATTTATCTAGGTATGATATGGACTCTGATCTTTTATTTTGAATTTGTTGATGGCAATAGATGTTGATAATGTTTTATTCAAGTGAGCTTTCTTAAGCATAAGTAAAAACATGTTTTATTGTCAAATTCAATACTGTAAAAGAAAGTATTTGTTTTCATTTCAAAAATTTTGATGCAGGTGAGAAATTTCTTTTGTCTAGTACCTTTTTTCATTTTTGTTTAGGTTAGAAAGATGGAAAGTATTAATGATGATGAAAATGTACAGCTTATGGGAGGCTTGCGGCACAGAAAGCGATTATGGAAAGCTCGTATATTTTTGTTGTTTGCCATGATGATCCTATTTGGCATTGCATTTGTTGCTGGATTTTTTCTTGAAAGAAGCATTAAGACACGGAATGATAGTTCAAAGGAGTCTGGTACTGGAAGTGATTATGCAAAGTTTCATGATATGGTAAAAAATGAAATGGGTGCATCAAATATCAAAGAAAATTTAATGTGAGTACAATAGTATGTTATTTTACTGATAGTCTCCCAGAGGCTTTTCGTGTAAAGTCGATAGCTTTTGCGTTTATTTTTTATCACTATGCAAGGAAGGTGGTGGTTGAATTGCGCATAAAATATTTGCTATCTTCACAATAAAACATTTATTCTGCTAATCTTGTAAATCATCATTTCTAGGAATTTTACATCAGTTCAACATATTGCGGGATCAGATGATGATGCTTATCAAGCAAAACAATTCATCTTTAAAAAATGGGCAGAGTATCTGGGGAAAGAGAATGTAGAATTGAAAAAATATAATGTCCTTTTATCATATCCTGAAAAGCCAGGGAAAATTTCAATTGTGGATGGGCTATCTGGAAATTTGAGTTTTACCACACATGCATATGAAAGTAGACTGTGGAAAGATGAATTTGTGAAAAATGTAGCTGTTCCATTTAATGCATACGCTGCAGCCAAGCATGTTGAGGTAGAGTACAATATATTACCTAAGAGCTCCAAATACAAATGTTATCTTTGAACGTCAGTGCTTTTCAAAATGTTTGCTTATTTCGAAGCTATTTTCAACTTTTGTACTGCAAAAATTGTTTGGAAATATTTTCTCCTAAGATATCAAATAATGATCAATAAAGCATATTTTAAAGGCAGTGGTGGACACTTTGGGGGACGGGGGGGGGGGGGGGGGGCGGGTGACGGCCCCCCAATACTTTAGAGGACAATGGTATTTTGTTCGAAAACAATGGGAAATGTGATGTCATCTTATCAAAACAATAGGCTTACCCCCCAATATTTGACCAAGTGTCCACCCTTTGTTGAAGGTGGTCATAAAACTTGTATTTAATTCTTTTTCAGAATTACCCAGCATAGCTTCAAACACTAGGTCCTCTTTATTGTTTGTAGATTTTTTATACTTTGGGGTATTATAATTTGTAAGAGCTGAAATGTGATATAAAAAGCCAAATGTGAGCTTTTAATTGGAAAAGAGATTGTTTAATTAGATATGTGATCATCTACTTTGTTGTTGCAAAAATGTTTAATTCTACAGGAATGCAAAACTGAGCTACCTGATAAGCTTGTATTGAAAATGGGTGCATTTTTCATTATATTCTATCTTTTGTTTTGAAATCTGCTATTAGACTATAGCTTCACCCTTGCATTTACAGGGTAAACTTGTCTATATCAATTATGGAACTGCAAAAGATTTTGAGTATTTGAAGAAACTCAACATCAGCTGTAAGGGGAGAATATTGATTGCAAGGTATGGGAAGAATTTTAGGGCTAACAAGGTAAGTAAAGGTAATTTCTCTTGGAGTTATAGAGGGAAATTTGGGCTACAAGGAGCATATATTATTCTATCTGTAGTCTAATTTGTATTGAACATTTGATTTTGGTAGAAAAAGCTTTAAAGTACATCTCCTTTCTCTTTCGATTTTTAGAAAGTAAAGTATTTGAAATCAAAGTTATGTACCCTTTAAATATAAAAATGTAATAAGAGGGTTAATTTTTCATAAAACCTTACTTGATCTCATCTATTCTTCCTTTATTCAGGTCGCATTAGGTGAAGCTGCTGGTGCGATTGGGATGATACTGTATACAGATCCAGCAGATTATGCATCAGGTACTTCATCGTATCCCAAATCATGGTGGATGCCACCTGATGGGGTGCAACGAGGAACTGTGCAACTGGGAGATGGGGACCCATTAACCCCTGGCTACCCATCCACAGGTGAGTGTAAATTAAGAGCAGGGGCATAACTTGGCCAATTGTTTTGGGGGGGGGTGAAAAGGGTTTCTGCCCTGCAAAACTGAGTGGTGCCCTGCAGACATTGTAGCAACGGTTTGTCTATAGGTTACTAGTGAAAGCTTTACCAGTGTACACTGGTCTTTACCAAGGATAAACTTCTAAGCAATAAAACAAACTTGAAACTTCATTGCCTATGAAATTTCTATTTCTCTACGTGAGCGTAAATTGTTTTTTATATTCACTTCATTTAATGTTGGTTTGCAAAATTAAGCTAATAAACAGCTAATTGGGGGGTGGGGGGGTGGGTACATCATGTAGACAGCGTAACGATATTTAACCCAGTGGGGCTAAGAGTCGAGTTTAGTGAGGTAGGAGGACCCACCATGGTTGGGTCCGACGTGAAGAAATTTTTTGAAAGTATACCTTGTAAAAAGGGCTAAAAAGCATTTTTCAGACAAAAATTTAGCAAAAATACTATTGTGCTAAATAAACTGATTGTTTATTGAAAACATTATTGTTTATTGGGAAAAATAGGGAGGGGGATGTCATGCTAAAACTCTAGTGTTAGACGTTGGGGAAGAAAAGAAACGGCAACCTTTCGTTTCAGATTGCACGTAGTTGTGAATGACAGAGGAAGATGTTGTTTTGATTGGGAGAATTTTTTTTCCTGAACAGAAATGTGCAGTTTCTTGTATCAAGAAGGCCATGTTTACACATCCAAAATTAAAACATTGCAATGATACAGAAAATGATTTACTGAATTAATGCAAATAAAAGAAAAATAATAAAAATACACGTGAAAAAGTTAGCAATTAGATGAAACAAAATCGGTATCTTAACGATTTATTATGTTTTTTAGTTCATGCACTGTTAAAAAGTAATAGAAAAAGTGATAGAAAAATTCCTATCTTGACCAAAGTGAGGGACTTCAGCCCCTTATTCCCCCCCCCAGTGACGCCGTGCTTGTCATGAAAATAATTTACAACTTAAATTAATTTGCATGACTCAACCTTGCCCTCATAAACATATGCATCAACCATTGCATCCATTGGCTATGACTTTCGGTAAGAAATGCTTTCGCTTTGCAAATAACGGAGCTTTTCCTTACATACCTGTTCCGTTCTCTAAAGTGCAATGTCAGGAAGGGAGGTTCATAACAAATACGATATTTCCATTTCAAAATTCCTAAACGGCTCTTTATGAACTTCAGAGGTGGCATTTCTGCGTGGCAATAAAGCTCTTCTTGGCGCCCTGCGAAATCTTCGATTGCCCTGCGAAATCGACTATTTTTTTGATTGGGGGGGTGTCACAC